ATGCCAACTCGTGGCCGTCGATATTTCAATGACGCATCCAACTTCCGCCCGGTCGCCTCGTCGCGCTCCATCAAACGATCCCCTGAGGTGTAACACATGTGGCCCATGCGGCGTTCCACGAAGGGCCTTGCCCTCGAGGATGGAAGGAATTGTCATCTCTTCCGCCGCGGAAGGCGGCGGAAGGTTGGCGCAAGGCGGCAGAAGTAAAAGATGCGCCCCCAGCGTTTTTTTGGGTTCAGGGTCTTCGAAATCGGCCACGTGTCTATCTGCAGGCTCAGCCGTGAGCGGCGTCGTGATGGAATAATGCCAGCGAGCTTCACCGCCGCGTCCGCCGCGGAGGAGGGGGAGGAGGGGGAAGAGAGGGAGGGGGAGGGGGAGGAGGAGGAGGAGGAGGAGGAGGAGGAGGAGGAGGAGGAGGAGGAGGAGGAGGAGGAGGAGGAGGAGGAGGAGGAGGATGGATGGATCTGCTCGCTCCGCCGCCGCGTCCGCCGCACAGCTCGCTCCCCGGCTTTTGCTTGACTCAATGGCGCCGGCCACGCGCCGTGGCCAGGCAAGGTCCGCAACGAGGGTGCCCGTGCAGCAGCGAGCTCCTGTTGGCGACGGTGGTTTGTGCTAGCTGCGACCCCCTGAGCCAATTCACCACTACAGTCGGGGCGTTGACCTAAGGAACGATAAATAAGGAACGAGGCCCCTATTTTCCATAAGTTGAACTTCGATTTCGTATCGAAAACCTAAGGAAAATCCAGGGCAAGCTGCGAAACAATTAAGGAACGCGGAGCCCCTCCCCAACGAAAAGGATTCCTTCTTCAGGGCCCCGACACTACTTGGCTGTCATTCCTCAGATCGAGTTGGCTGCGGGGTGTCAGCCCGCAAGCGATGTTCGCCAGAGGTACCCTTCGGGTCGACGTACGTGCGGGATTGTTTGGTGCGGTCTTCCTCTCTGGATCGGTCGGCAGTCCCGCGGGCGCGATGCTTCCTCTATAGGAGAGCGTCCCCTGCATCTATCTGCTCCAAATGATCGAATCTACAATTATGCTCTACTGCTTGCCAGTCGCGCGGGTCGGTGGCGAGCCTTCTCCATCCGACCTCGTTAATGCTCAAGCATAGGTCTTTCAATGCGTTTCGACGTTTCCAACCTGCGCGGTGGGCATTGCAGCTGCCGCCCACGTGACACCGAAGGCAGAGGCCGTGTCCGTAACTCCCTGTCGCTTGGCCGCTGAGTGCTCCACTCATACATCTTCTGGCGCGTGGGCCAAAAGATATGACAACCAGACCCTGGTCGTGGTACCATCCATAAGGCCGCTGGTCCCGACCTCGCCACTCCAAACGTAGTACCGTGTCCGGGTCGCACGTCAAACTTACGGTCCTGACGCGCCGAACGGCTCGAGAAGGTCTTGAGGTCTTCTGGAGGGATCCTGGAATATCGCCGCCACGAAGCGGTGTGTAGTCTTCAGCGTCTCCTTTTCGCCGTGTGTAGTCTCCGGCGTCTCTTTTTCGCCGCTGGTGATGGTGGGGGGGAGGAGGGGGAGCAGGCGGACAGAATTGTTGGGGGAGGGAAGGAGGCGGAGAGGAGGGAGGGGGAGGGGATGAAAACGAAGGGAACAAGAACACGACCCGCTGCGGTTGCGCTCAGTGTGCAACGGAAAAGCGTGACAACGAGGCAAGCCGTCCCCAGACGTGCCAACGGCTCGTGCTTAGTGTGCTCCCGACTGTCCAGGCAAGCCTGAAACTGAGGAAGACAAGGCATTTCTGTCGTACGGATTTCTGCCTTTCAGATTGGATCCCTTTGCGGCCGCATCTATCGTCGCATCCGACCTCAGACTTGCGACAAGACCACTCCGCAACCCTGCGCAATCGACTCTGGCAGCATGGGGCGTACGTCCAAGAAGGGGGAGAGGCATCAGCAGGATGAAGCACCCGAGTAGAGGCAGAAGCGTGAGAGCGAGACAGATCGGTTCGCTCCTGCTGTGCTGTTCATCCCCCCACGCCTCCAGATTCATCTCCTGAACGCATTCAGCGTCTGAGTCCACTCGGCTGTAGAATGGACCAGGGATCGAGCCCGCTCGGCCGCCCAGAGGGGGCCAACTGCCTCCGCCTCCTTGGAAACGAGCGCGTCCCGCTACCCATCCAGCGCCCGAACGGGCTCCGACGCCGAGCGGGCCCAGAAGACAGCATCGCTGCTGGACTGGCCCCAGGGCCAGAGCTGGGCCCGCCCGCAAGAGACCAGCCGGGGCGCGGCGCCGCCGGCCTCGGATCCTCGTCGAGCCCCAGCCGCCTCAAGGGGCCACGAACCTTCGGACCCCTCCGCGCGTGCGCGCGGAGGAGTCCACTGGGCAGGGACCGACCGTCCCGGCATTCCTGCAGGCCTACCGCGACGTGTTCGTATTACAGCATGGGGCTCTGAGAGCGACCTTGCTCTGAGACCGAGAGCCGATCGTACGGAATCTGTCCTGCCTCAGCCAGACCATGCCCTGAGAACAAGTCGTGGAAGCCACGGGCAGGTCCTCAGAGCACTCCTTCCTGGGCCTATGCAGGCAGGCCATGGCGCTTCGTCACTGCTCGAGCCCAAGGGGGGCGGCTGCTCGCGCGCGCCCGCCCCTGGGGCTCGCCAGCACGCGGGCGCGAGCCGCCCGCCCAGACCCCCGTGTGATTTTTTGTCATGACGTCTCCCCCCCCAGAGAGGTCTCGACCCCCTCCCCCGGGACCGGCTCCTCATCCCGAGTCGTTTTTTGGCGGTCCCGAGGCCCGGGAAGGGGGCCCCCGGAGCCCGAACATGCTATGCTCTCTCGTTGCTCGAGGGGGTCTGAGGCTTGGCTCCTCGCGCGGGTGCCGCGCGCGCGCCGCGCGCGCGGCCTGTGCCGTCTCGGTGGAGGCGCGCCGGCGCCGAGGCCGGCTCCTGGGGGGCCGCCGCCGCCGCGGTCGCCCGGGCGCGCCGCGAGCGGGCGGGGCAGGGCCGAGGCGCCCCGAGGGGGGAGCTGCCCGGAGAGCCAGCGTCTCCCGGGATGGGACGGAGGCAGGGTCGAGGCAAAGGTCGGACCGATCAAAGGCGGGGATCTCTGGGAATCCGCGGGTTCGGCGGGCGTATCGGGGGCCGCGCCGCGGCCGTTTCAGAGCGTTCTGGAACGCTCTGAGAGCGTTCCAGAGCGCTCTTGAACGGATTGAGCGGATTTGTCACGATTCTAGGCCCATCCGACCTTACCAGGCCTCGGGGCCGTCAGAGCATGACTCGATATGAAAAGCTGGTCCCAAGGAAGTGGTCGAGAGGCTGGGGGATCGCGTCTCGGAACAAGCGACACGCTGGGTGTCTGGGTACACGCAAGAGGTGACCCCGGGCACGAGTATAACAGTAATAATAATACTCATAATAATGATAATAATAATAGTAATAATAATAATAATAATGCTACTCATAATAATAGTAACAATACTCATAATATTACCATTATTATTATTACTACTATTATTACTATTATTATTAATAATCATAGTACTATTACTACTACTACTACTACTACTACTACTACTACTACTACTACTACTACTACTACTACTACTACTACTACTACTACTACTACTCATAATAATAATACTTAAAATAATAATAATAATTACTGATACTAATAATATTATTAATAATAATAATGCTACTCATAGTAATAGTAACAATACTCATATTATTATCATTATTATTATTACTACTATTATTATTATTAGTAATAATCATAATACTATTACTACTACTACTACTACTACTAATAATAATAATAATAATAGTAATACTAATTATAATAATAATAATTACTGATAAGAATAATAATCATAATAATAATAGTACTAATACTACTAATAATAATAATAATAATAATGGGCCCAACGCGGACCCAAGAAATCCGCGCGGAGCGCCAGAAATTTATGTTTATGGCGCTTTTTCTTCTTCGAAAGAGTGACCTCGGTCGTGGGCTGGCGAAGGAGGGGGGGGGCAAACCCAAGGGCGTGAGCCGCTGCTGTCGCAGCGCCTTCCCGGCTCGGGGAACACCAGTGTGCCCGCACCGTATAGTCACTCCGACGAAACGTCACTCTTTCGCACAGCCGACAGAATCTAGGCCTCCCAGATGGGATCGGAGTAGATGGGGTCGGAGGATCGCGCCGCATCGCCGATACATCGGCGATACGGCTCGATGTGGAGGCCGCGTTTTCTCATGCCGACGTAGCCGATGCATCGCTGATACATCGGCGATGCATTGGCGATGCGGCGCGATCCTTCGACCCCACCTACTCGCACCCGATCCCAGGAGGCCTCTACCGAAGGGGCAGGCCGCGCTGCCGAGGGGTCAGGCCACGGAGGAGGAGGAGGAGGAGGAGGAGGAGGAGGAGGAGGAGGAGGAGGAGAAGGAGGAGTAGGAGGAGGAGGAGGAGGAGGAGGAGGAGGAGGAGTGGGGTCGAACCGAGGCGGGCGGAATGCGTCATCGCCGAGTCTGGGGATCGGATCGAGGCGGAGCGAGCATCGGATCTGGCTGTATCGGCTCGGTACCGACATCGGATCGGATCGGCTCCGTCCGGACACACAGCTACGCTGTGCCAACGTCGAGCCACATCGCACTGCGAGGTAATCGAAATCTAGCGGGGTGAACTCGACATCGAATCGGATTGAACTGGGTGAGCTCGAAATCCAGCAAACCTGAAGAACGCGGGGGCACAGACCGTCGGCGGCGAGGGCGTGACCTCCCGGCAGGGGAGAAGCGGAACCTAGGCGAGGAGTGCCCTGCCGGTGGAGGAGCGGGCGGGGGAAACGCAAAGACTCCAGGCGTCTGGCGGGCGGCGAGCGAGCAGCTCCACACATCCGGCCTCGTGGTTTTTCCCCGTGACGTTGTCCCCCACGCGCGGCCCTCTCGGGTCCATTCTGGGCGGGCGGGGGCGGCCGACTCGTCATCCCAGGTCGTCTTCCAAGGGCCCCGGGGCCCGCAGCGGGCCTCCCGAGGCCCAAAGCGTGGACCAGTCGAATTGTCCCGATGCTTTTGTCGTGGGGGCGTCTAGGGAGAGATCCCGCCACTGCCGTGCTGCGGGCTGGTGTCGTACGCCTGCTTGCAAGCTGGGACCCGCCCAAATTTGCAAAACAGCCGGGTGCCATGCCTGCGCTTCCGTCAGGGGGGGAGGAAGAGAGGTAGCGAGCACAGAGAGAGAGAGAGAGAGAGAGAGAGAAAGGGAACTACAGAGGATATGTATACACATATGTCGGTGATGATGTATCTGTACATGCACATGTATATATGCATGCATCTATGTATGTGCATATGTCTAGGTATGCGTCTATGTGTTTGTACATGTTTATGCATGTGTGTATGCATATGCATATGTATATGTTTACGATGTGCGTATGTCTATGTTTATGTATATGTGTACCTGTATTTGTGTGTATATATATATATTGAGGCGTATGTGTGTACCTGTAAATATACATCGGTGTGCGCGCGTATCTGTTTATGTATACATTAGACATTTCATGCTAATATTAGACGTTAGATGCTTTACGTCCATGCATATGCTTGTGCATGTGTATATGCATTTTTTTATGCATTCGTATATGTATAAACATGTTCCTGCAATCATGCATCCTGCATGGACCCCCCGGATGCCCCCCCGTAACAAATCGAAGACTCCTTTCGGACGCTCCCTCCTGCCCCAGGGCACCTTTCCGACGCTCCCCCTGGGCCTTCCCAGCTAGCCAAACCTTTGATTTCCAGTGGATTTTGGGGCCCTTCCCAGTTCGAGCCTCCTGTGGCCCGCGACGAACCCAGGGGCTTCCTAGATCGCCCCCAGAAGGCTGCAACAGCCCCCAGGACGGCCCAACATTTGCCCAAGAGGGCCCCCAGAGGCCTACAAATGTCCCAAGGCGGCGTCCAGGAAGCCCCACAACAGCTTAGAGGAGGCACCCGAGACGACCCCGAAGGACCGCAGGACGGTCCGAGATGGCCATGGGACGATGCACGAGGCCTCCACGACGCCCCAGAGGTCTCCAACAGTCCCCCAATACTGCCCAACATGTGCCCTCAGCGGCCTCCAAGAAGCCCGCGAGGGGCTCTCAGAAGCCTCAAACACCTTCGACAAGGGACATCATCACTCTCCCAAGCCGCTTCCAACAAGGCAGTGCGTCCTCTTCCTGCTGCTGCTGCTGCTCCTCCTCCTCCTCCTCCTCCTCTTTCTTCCCCCTGTTTTTCGACCTCACTGTGTTGCACTCTCATCTTCGAGGCGGCCCCGAGGACGCCCACACGGGCCCCAAGAGGGCGTGCTGGGATCCCAACGAAAGCCCAGATGGGTGCTCCCAAGGCGGCCCCAAATGCACCACAATAATGGCCCAAGATGGCCCCAGGACTATCCATTCCCTTCCCCCGACTTGCGCACGTCTTCTCATCCCTCTGCCTTTTTTCTTTTACCCTATCTTATCCTGCTCATCCCTCGTCCTCCTCCCCTCTTCGTCGTCCTCCTCCTCCTGACGGCTCTTCCAAACTGTTGGTGTCCGAGGGCAGCGTGCAAAATTCAAGGCCGTTGAACAAAGACTCGGGATGACAAACCAATCCTGGAAAGTCGGAAGTGGGATGAAAGATAGTGTTGGGAAAGAGGTCGCGGGTCTGGGGGCCAGCGACTCGAAAAGCGGATCGTCGTGGGCGTGTGCACATATACATGCACCCATGCATACACATATACATATAGATAAGTGTGTGTGTGTATATATATAGACGTATACAGGTATGACAAACAAACTTCACTTCGTTTGCGGGCCCAGCCGTTCTTTCAGCAACCTGTCAATAGCTCAGCAGGTCTGACCTTGCCCCTCGCGGTCATCACGTTCACCCCTCTTACATATAATGGTGCATGTAAGCCCTCAACATCACGACTATTTCCCCGCTCACGGTTGCGCTCCGCCCTCATGAAGCTCATCATGGCCTATCTTTCTCCGTATTGCCGACAGCCCTTTCCCGGTCATGCTTTGAGCCACATGCCATGGTCATGCCACCCCCATCAACGTCATGACTGGGAACCCTCTCGGATCATGACCTTCATCCTCCGCGGGGTCATCTCATCTCATCGTGTTTTCTCTGGACACCCGCGCAAACCTCACCCCACCCCCCTGCTCCATCACACCATCACACCATCATCATCAACATCACATCATCGTCATCCGCACTATCGTTATCATCACCATCTTCATCATCGCACTCACACTCATCATCATCGATCATTCACCATCTCATCGTCATCGCACACACTCGCACACCCACTCATACACACTCACACCATGACCACCATCATCACCATCATCATCAGCACCACCACCATCATCATCATCATCATCATCATCATCATCATCATCATCATCATCATCATCATCATCATCATCATCATCATAATCATCACCATCCTCATCATCGCCATCAGCATCATCATCGTCATCAACATCACCATCATCACTACCACAATTATCATCATCATCATGCCTATCATCATCACTATCACCATCATCATCAGCATCATTATAATCATCACCACCATCATCATCCATCATCATAGCCACCATCATCATCATCGTCATCACCATCATCATCATCATCATCATCATCATCATTATCATCATCATCATCATCGCAATCAGCATCATCATCACCATCATCACCACCACCACTATCATCATCATCGCCATCACCATCCCCATCATCATTAACATCACCATCATCATCACCATCACCATCATCATCATCGTCACCATCATCATCCACATCAACTTCATCACCATCACCACCATCACCCTCACCATCATCATAATCATCATCATCATCATCACCATCACCATCACCATCACCATCACCATCACCATCACCAGCACCATCATCACCAGCATCATCATCATCATCATCACCATCTCCATCTTCATCTTCATCTTCATCATCATCATAATCATCATCATCATCATCATCATCATCATCATCATCATCATCATCATCATCGTCATCACCATCACCATCACCATCACCATTATTATCATCATCATCATCATCATCATCATCATCATCATCATCATCATCATGATCCCACCCGTACTCACGCACTCATTCGCACTTTCATTCGCACTCACACACCCACACATTCACCTGGAGGCAATCTCGAATGGGAGTCTCGTCTGTTAGTGTTTCAGGCGTGAGCCTCCTCCCTATGAGGCCGCCAGATCATGTTAGTAATCCGAGCGGGTCATCCACATGCTGTAACTGTCGTTACTTCTGGGCTCCTGAGGTGTGGATCTGGAGGAAGTCTCGAGCAGAAGCCTTGTCCGTGAGTGAATTATGAGGACATCTCAGGCGGAAGCTCCCTTCATATGGGGCCGCCAGATGATGTTAGTACTCCGAGCGGGGTCATCCACACTATCGTCACTTTTGGGCTCCTGAGGCGTGGATCTGGAGGGAGTCTCCAGCGGGAGCCTCGTCTGTGAGTAAATTGTGAGGGCGTCTCCGGCGGGAGCCCCCCTCCCCATGGGGCCGCCAGATCATTTTAATAATCCGAGCGGGTCATCCACACCCTGCAACTGTCGTCACTTTTGGGCTCCTGAGGCGTGGATCTGGAGGGAGTCTCCAGCGGGAGCCTCGTCTGTGAGTGAATTGTGAGGGCGTCTCCGGCGGGAGTCCCCTCCATATGGAGCCCCCAGATCATGCTCGTAATCCAAGCGTGTCATGCAAATAGTGTAGCCGTCGGTACTTTTGGGATCCTGAGGCGTTGGTTTGGAGGATGTCTCGAGCGGGAGCCTCGTCTGTGAGTGAATCCCACCAGCCCTTTGGGCTGAATTGGTCTGGTGAATTCTTTCCTTCATCTTCCAAAAACCTCTTCCATTCCGGGAGGTTTGCCTCCCCTCCCTTCCCTGAGGTTTCTAGGGAGGTTTCCTTAGGACGCCCAAGATGGCCCAGGGTGAAGGTGGCTCCAAGATGGCCTGTGGTGCTCCACGATGGCCTCCACCATGACTCAAAGTAACCGACGATGGTTCAAGCTAGCTTCCGACACGCCTCCAATAGGCCCGACCAAGGGCACAAGACGGTTCCAAGTGTTCTCGGAGCCCCCTCAGGAACCCCCAAGAGGCCAGCGTCTTCTAAGAAGAGAAAAAGAAACTCAACGATTGTTGCCTTCGCGCCTTTTCGCTTCCGATGCGCTTTTGAAGCCTCAAGATGGCCCCGTGATGACCCAAGAGAGGTCCAAGAGGGGCCCAAGCGGCCCCGTAGATGGCCCCAAGAGCGCCCCAAGAGGGAGCCCAAGAGCGCCCCAAGAGGCGATTTTGATGGCCCCAGGGGGGAGTGCAAATCTAGGACCCCCCCTTTTGATCGGTGGCCTCCGATGCCCAAAGAGGCTCCCGAGACGGCTTCCGACGGCGTAAGGCGGGCCAGGCACGCCGTAAGACGGCCAAAGGGGCCCCCAAGAAGCACCCAGAGGCCACCAAGAGGCCCAAGGATGCCCCCAAGAGGCCTCCAAGAGGCACCCAGGAAGCTCCCAGGAGGCCCCAATGATGACCCAAGAAGCTCCCAAGAGGTCTCCTCATCCTTCTCCTTATCATCCTTTTTCCTTCCTTTCCTCATCCTCCTCTTCCTCCCCCACGTGTTCCCCGAAGGGCTTCCAGGATGGCTGGGGGAACGACTGGCCAACCTTTGCCGAAACGTTTGCCCACAGAGGCGTATCCCAAAAGACAAGGGGGCGGCGGTGATCAGCATTAGGCGCCTTTGGTAACACTATGACCCTGTATACGCATATGAATAGGAGTGGGCATATGATTACGACTAAGGTTATGGGTCTGCCAATGCACATATTTATACACGTACATTGAAACACATATACATAAATCCATACATGCATACACACAGACATCCATACATGCATACCAAAATGCATGTCCAAGTTATGTACAAGTGCTCGCCGCGGCCTCTCTCCCAACACCTTTCTCTGAGCCTCCCAGACTAAAACAACAAACCAGCCTACACAATATTTGGTGCCCTCGATACAGCTAACCAGTGTACATGTATACACATGCTTGTTGGCTTTGGACGCAGGGAACGGGAACTACTCTTTGTTTGGGAGGCTCAGAGACGGATGCTTGTAGGGAAACCGCGGCGAGCACTGGCGCCTCCTAAACAAAGCACAGCACGACCAAACTACGCAGTGTTTCCGAGCTTCCCAACCTACATAAGCGAAACATGCACATACACATACACAGTGTTTCGTTTCACCGAGGGCACCAATCAATCTTTGTATTTGTGTATATAGATATGTTTATCTATACATATGTATGTGTACTTGCTTCTTAGTCCGGGAGGCTCAGAAAAGGGGTGCTGGGAGGGAGGCCGCGGCTAGCACTGGGACTTCCCAAACCAGACAACAACAAGCTCGGTGTTTCCTTGGTTCCACAACCCAAGAAATACCACGAACAAACATACACAGCTCTTTCCGATACCGAGAGCGCGAGGCACTACGTAGTTGTGGCTTTGTGCTTTGAAGCTGAGGCTAGGAGCACGAGCTCCGGAGGTTTCTGCGCTCGAAGCTTCTCTGGCACGAGCCCCAAAGCGTTCAGCGCGGATGAAGCTGGGAGCACGAGCCCCGAAGGTTTCGGCGCTGGAAGTTTCCCTGGCACGAGCCTCGAAGGGTTCAGCGCCAGTGGCATGAGCCCCGAAGGCTTCAGTGCCGATGAAGCTAGAAGCACGAATTCCAAAGGTTTCGGCGCTTGAAGCTTCCATGGCACGAGCCCCGAACGGTTCAGCGCCAGTGGCACCTGCCCCGAAAGGTTCAGCGCCAGGAGAGATTGGTTGAGGGAGAGAGGGGGGGCAGGATGAATGAGGAGAGTGAGGGATGATGCTGAGACGTGACGAATAAAAAGAGTGTGCAGATAAAGAGGAGGATGACCACGTGAATGCAATTCAAAATGGGATGTCTGATCTAAGGGGGGAACCACACGCACATACACACAACATACATACATACATACATACATCCATGCATGTATGCATGTATGTATGGGCAGAGAGAGAGACAGGGAAATAGAGAGAGAGAGAGAGAGACAGAGAGAGGAAACGAGAGGAAGGGAAAAGAGAGAGAGAGAGAGAGACAAAGACAGATAGCAAGACAGATAGCGAGAAAGAGAGGAATACAGAGAGGGAGAAAGAGAAGGAGAGAACGAGAGATAGAGAGAGAGAGAGAGATAGAGAAAGATCGATAGAGAGAGAGAGAGAGAGGGGGCAGGAGGCCGAAGAGGAGGACGAGCAGGATGATGACGAGCATGGATGCGGTGGAAGACGTGGAGCCTCTCCCTCCCCGCTGCCTCCCGGCGCGGGCGCCCCGTCTCCCACCAGCGGCACGGACCCCCCCCCACGAGTGCAGCTCTACTCTGTGTGCGGCTGCCCCCCCCCCCGCCGGTGCTTCTTGCTGTTTTGCCTTTTGTCTCCTGCCTTTTGGCCTTGCTTAGACAAGCGCGTTCCACTGCTCGCAACATAACTACTCGCAAGTGGCCTCGATCCGCTGCGGGGGTTGACGATACATTACATCGAGGCAAGCAAACAGTTTTCGGACATTTGCGAGGAGGCACTCTGCGAGTAGTGGAGCGCGCACAGTGACTGCTCGCCGCTGCCGCTTCTGGCTCTCTCTGCCCGCTCTTCCTCTCTCTCTCTCTCTTCCTCTATTCCTCTCCCTCACTCTTCCTCTCTCTCTCTCTCTGTCGTCACTCTTCCGCCTGTCCTTCTCGGTGTTTGCCTCTCTCTCTCTCGCCTTCCCGCTCGTGCTCCCCTCGCTGCCGAAGCGGGGCGAGGGTGGGGGCCGGGCCCGCGGGAGACCGCCACGTCGCGGCGGCCGCGACTCCTTTCAGCAGCGAGGCGCGCCAGGTCTGTACACGGCCGCCCCTGCCCTGGCGGGCTCCAGTGGAGAGGGCTCGGGGCAGAAGGGTTCGGCCCAGACCATCCCAGTCCCATGCCCTCTTCCGAGGCGGGGAAGGGCTGACGAGGAGGTGGAACAGATGGATGGAGGAGGAGGAGGACGAGGAGGTGGAGGAAGAGGGAGAGGAGGGTGAGGAGGAGGGCACGAGGGAGGATACTTCGGAGGAGGAGGCGGAGGAGGAGGAGGAGGAGAGGAAGAGCGCGAGGAGGAGGATGAGGATAAGGATAATGATGATGATGATGCTGATGATGATGATGATGATGATGATGCTGATGCTGATGATGATGATGATGATGATGATGATAATGATGATGATAATAATGATGATGATGATGCTGATGATGATGATGAGGATGATGATGATGATGCTGATGTTGATGATGATGATGCTGATACTGATGATGATGGTGATGATGATGAGGATTAGGAGGAGAAGGAGGAGAAAGAGGAGGAGGAGGAGAAGGCGGGGAAGAAGAGGATGAGGAGGAGGAGGAGGAGGGGGGAGGAGGAGGAGGAGGAGGAGGAGGAGAGGAATAGGGCAAGGACAAGGAGGAGAATGTGGAGGGACGAGGAGGACGAGGAGGACGTGGAGATTGAGTATAACGTGAAGGAAGATGATACTGATGAGGATGAGGAAGAGAATGAAGGAGGAGGAGGAGGAGGGAGGAGGAGGAGGAGGAGGAGGAGGAGGGAAGTGGAGGAGGAGGAGGAGGAGGAGGAGGAGAAGGGAGGCGAGGGGGACGCGGGGCGAAACCCTCTCTGCTCCCGAAGTGCTCCCCTGGAGCCCACCAGCCGCCGCATCCTAACCGTGCAGCCCCGTTGCCGCCGCTCTCGGGGATAGATGGAACTGAGGGCAGGCCCAGGCGCAGTTCAGCTCGGTTCTTCCCCTCCCTCCTCCTCTCCTCCTCCTCCTCCTCCTCCTTCCTCTCTACCTCATCTCCTCCTCCTCCTCCTCCTCTCGTCCTCCTCCTCCTCCCCCCCACCCTCCTCCTCTTTCTCCTCCTCCTTACCTTTTACTTATAGATAACTCCTCCCTGTCGCACCCTGAGGCCGGTCGAAAGGGCGGGCCTGGCGTTTCGCCTAAGATTTCTTCACAACTAATGATCCTCACGCTTGAAATTTGAAAGAGCTTCACGGATGGAGGGCGGCCCGTTTTCAAAATGTGGCTCTCGCCTGAGCGCCGCGCACATTCGTCTTCAAAACTTGCTAGCATGTTGCAGATGGAGGGTGGTCCGTTTCCAAAATTTGTCTCTCGCCTTAACGCTGCGCGCACTCGGTTCATAAGTTTGCAAGAGCTTCACGGTTGGAGGGCGGTTCCTTTTCAAACTGTAGCTCTCGCCTTGGCGCCGCGCACATTCGTCAGACAAGTTGGCAACATATTCGCGGATGGAGGGCGGTTCCTTCTCAACATGTGGCTTTCGCCTTAGCGCCGCGTGCACTCGTCGTTAAAAATTGCATTTGCAGCAAGGGTTTCACGGATGGAGGGCGGCTCATTTACAAAATGTGGCTCTCCCGCCTTAGCGCCGCGCACAGGTGTTTGAAGATTTTGCAGCAGTTTCAACCATACTCTCATGATTAACGTGCCAGAAATAATGTTGTAGCACGATGTGGGAATGCCAGGGCGCAACAATCACGTTGATTCGCGGTGCTAGGAATGGTGTTCTGATGCGGAACAATAACGGCGATTCGCGGTGTGAAAGCCTCGGAAATGGTGTTCTGGCAGAGTTCCAGATTTTCAAGCCGTTGTCTTCCAACGCGGTATTTCCCTCAGTGAGGATGAACCCGTGCAGGGGCCTATGACGAGGGAACTTGGAGGGATCTTTTTGTTTAATGCTTTGCTTGTTTTCTTCCAATGTCGTTGATGGATCTTGGGCTTGCACTGTTCCTCTTCCTCCTTCTCCTCGCCCCTCCCTCCTCCTCCTCCTCCTGCTCCTCCTCCTCCTCCTCCTCCTGCTCCTCCTCCTCCTCCTCCTCCTCCTCCTCCCCTTCCACCTCCTCCTCCTCCACCTCCTCCTCCTCCTCTTTCTTCTCCTCCACCTCCTCCACCTCTTCATCCTCCTCCCTCCTCCTCCCTCTCCTCCTCGCCCCCCATGGGCCAAGAGACTGAAAGCGCGGCCTCCTCCTTCCCAGGCCTCCTCGCGCCGCGAGAACACACAACGGCGGAATGCCTTCGGCACTGCTCTGGCCTCCCGGGGCCCCAGGACTGAGCACGCGCAAGAGTGATCCTAGGCAAGACAGTACACGGACAACATTTTCGAACCCTCACACACTTGAGGAGGATGCTCATGCCCCCCGCCTCCGAAATCAACGTTGATTTTAGCATTAGTGGTGGGTTGTGGGTTCGAATATTTCTGTCCACCCATGCCCTCTCCATTGCCGCACCCTCAATTTTAAGGTTTCGGGTCTTGGGGAATTTCTTGCACAGCAGGGTTCGAACTTATTGTCCGTGTACGGGAGTAACCTTTGGTGCGTGGCTTTAGGGGGGCGCGGGGGAGGGTCGAACCCGAGCGCGCAAGCCACTGCTATCGCATCGCTTTCAGCGATCGAAGTGCCCTAATGGGCCCGCACCACGGGTCACTCCGGCGAGGGGTCACCACTACATGCAATCGACAAGAAATCGTCAAGACAACGACTCGGGACGAGACACCAGTGCCGGAAAGGAGGTCCAGACCTCTGGGGGTAGGCGCTGTGGATAAAGCCATGACCTTGGACTTCTGGGTTCTTTTCTCCCTCCTCCCGTGACACATGGCTACTTGCCATCCGCTGTGAGCAGGCCAGCCAGAACGCTCCCCGTTCTCCTTCCTCCTCACCCTGCTGTCCTTTCTCCTCGCGACCCCGTTCCTCGAACATGATTTCCCTCTTGGGCCTTTGCTTAATTGCCCTGGGACTCGTGAAACGGCCACGTGAGGCCCAACACTGCGAGCAAATCGTCAAATAATGAGTTTGTCTTCCGCGAAGCCTGGAAGTCTGCTAAGAAGCCTGCTTCTGCTCAATGGGTCGCACTTGTGCCGTACCTGAAGTTGTGATGCCCTCCTTGCGGCACTTACGCCCTGAATATGCCCTACCTGGGGCAGTTCTGCCATACATAGGGGCAACCAGGAGCGGGCCACGGCTTCTGACATCGCGTGGATCGCTCATCCCTGAGACCGTGGCTTCCCGATAATGATCTGTGATCGTTCGATGTCGGCCGATTCCTGGCCAGTGTGGGTGTTCAACTCTGCTCGGGGGTTGCTGAAGGTGTCTCTGGCCCCAGGTCTCGCTAACTTACAATGAAGGCCAGTCCACAAGAAACCTTTCTCGGAAATCCTGCGGACACATCGGATACATCGGCAACATCGGACTCAAATCCTGACACTGAAGGGGCCCTAGGACACACAAATAAATACACACAAATAAAACGATTCCCCATATTTTCTGGGCTTTTGTCTCCCCCCCCACCCCCCCTTCCCATCTTTTCCCATATTATTCCTGGGGAATGGACGATTCCTTGTGTCTCTGTGTGTTTCTGTCCCTCCTGCGGACACAGCGGCAACGGTCTGTGGATACCCCTGGCAGCACCCGACGCACCCGACACACCCCGCACACCGGACCCGAGCGCCCGAGGCCGGGGCCACCCCCGCGCCGCGCCGGCGCGGCGCGAAGTGCGGGGGGGCACCGGGGAGGGGGCGAGGCCCTCCTGGGGGGCGGGCCTCGGCCTGCTGGCAGGGCCTGCCGCCCCCTCCTCCTCGCGCTCCTTCTCCTCCTCCTCCTCCTCCTCCTCCCTCCTCCTCTCCTCCCCTCCTCCTCCTCCTCCTCCTCCTCCTCTCCTCCTCCTCTTCGTGCTCCCCCCATTGGCGCGCGCGAGCCCGGGAAAAATGCCCCCCCCCCCCCCCCCCCCCCCCCCCCCCCCCGTGCACTCCTCTCCGACATCCCCCTCGGCCTCGGCCTGCGGGGGGGCGGCCCCGGGACGGCCCAAGACCGCTCCGGGTCGGCCGGAAGGCGTCCGAGGACCAGCCCGAGACTGCCGGCCGACTCTCCCGGCGGCTCCGAGGGGGCCCTAAGAGGCTCCGAGGAGCGCTCGGAAGACTTCTGCGTCCCCGGCCGCGACGCGCCAAGCGCGATTATCTTCTCGCCCCTGGGGGTGACATAGCAAACTGTCAAACCAACTCAAGGAAGCTTCTGGTTTTTGGTTCCCCATTCTGTTCGCTGCAGACCGCTTCGGGAAACATCCACGTAGCCTCAAGCCGCCACCAATACGAAGACAGCACACAGGGGGCCCCAAGTCTGCCCGAGAACCTCCCAAGACGGCCCACGAAATCTGCAAGATCGCATTAGGACCCGCCCAGCCGCCCACCATATGGCTCAACCGAGTCTCTTCTAGAGGGCTGAGCTCGGTACAGCAGTCGCGTTCAAGACGGCCCCGAGACGACCCAACGAGCCCCTAGCAGGCACCCACCATGGCTCCAAGTTAGGCCCCCAATACTCTTCAAGAGAGAGGATGGAGGAGGAGGTGGGAGGAAGAGGAGAGGGAACAAGGAGGATGAGTAGGAGGTGAACAATGCTTGAGGCAAGGAGCGGGTGTTCAAGATCCGTGCCAGCTCAGGCAAAGCACTGACCCTGGAATGGGCCTTAAGCTCAAGCTCATTCTTGCTGCGTTGCTTGCGCCGGCACGGTGGCGGGACTTTTGCTTCTCGTCGCGCCATCAAGCGCGTCGGTGGGCGGGCTGGGCGTTTCGCCTGATACTTCCTCACAGCGACCATAAGACATGACAACTGCACCCAATGCGAGGATGGAGGGCCAGCGGTGCAAAAAATCTGGCTCTCGCTTGGCGCCGCGTACGTTCGTCTCAAAGTCTGCAGCATCTACACAGGTGGGTGTGAGGTTGGTTTTAAGATGTGACTCTCGCCTTGGCGCCGCGCGCATGAACACTTGCGCCACGCATGGATGGCGGCTCCTTCCCTCGAGCACCCCGAAATTCAAACATCTGCAACAATCACACGGGTAGAGGGTGCCCCCTGTCATAACTGGGCTCTCGCTGACCATCCTCTCATCTTCTGAGGCTCGAAACTAGATGTGCAGCAGCTGCCCGAATGAAGGACGATTTCATTATTCAACATTGGCGTGTCTCTTTGCACTTGCTCGACCTGTATGTACCTACAACTCGACGTGTCGAACAGCTGTGCGGACGGAGGCAACTCCTCTTCACAACGGGAAATCCCGCTTGAACGGAAGGCCCACGGGCGATCGTCTTTGAATGGTGGGATCCCCGTAGTGGAACACACGACTCGTAGGGGCTTATAAGGGCGGGGCTTGGGACGGGAAGGTGTGCTGCAACATCGTCGATGCATACTGGGCTTACTCTGGTCGTATCCTCCAGCACAACTCCACCTTCTCCCCCCTCCAACTCCCCCCTCCTCCCCCCCTCCAACTCCACTTTACCTCCCCGCCTTGCTTTCCTCCTCCTCCTCCTCTTCTTCTTCCTCCTCCTCCTCCTTTCACTCTTATTCCCTACCTGGGCTCTGCCTAGAGGGTTCTTGCTTTGTTTGCTTAAAGGGGCCGGGCATTGTAAAACGCCCTGGGCGGTTCTCCCAGCGCGGTTCCCCCAGTTGCGCCCCCTGGGTTCCCCTAGCTTAGCTTAGCTTAGCTTAGCTTACCTTACCTTAGCTTAGCTCAGCTAAGCTTAACTTAGCATAGCTGAGCGTAGCCTAGCCTAGCTTAGCTCAGCTGAGCATAACTTAGCTTATATCAGCTCGTCTTAGCTTAGCTTATCTTAGCTGAGCTGAGCTGAGCTTAGCTTATCTCATCTTAGCTTAGCTTAGCGTAGCTTACCCCGTCGTAGCTTAGCTTAGCTTAGCTTAGCTTCGCTTAGCTTAGCTTATATCATCTTAGCTTAGCTTAACTTAGCTTGGCTTAGCTTAGCCTATCATAGCTTAGCTTAGCATCGCTTAGCTTACCTTCGCTTAGCTTAGCTTAACATAGCGCAGCGCCGCACTAGCACAACATAACATAGCATAGCCAAACGCATCATAGCATATCATAGCATAGCATATCATAGCTCCTCATCGCATAGCATATCATAGCATAGCGCAGCATAGCATAGCATAGCATGTATGCATTTGTAGATGTAAATGTAGCTGTCGGTGTAGATGTAGATGTTGCTTTCCTAAATTTGGAGGGTGAAAGTGGGGGTCGGGCGCAGGGTCCCCGCAACGATGTTTTTTAAGGCCATGAATGGGCGATACATCCTCGATTGCTGTGTTCGGTGGGGGAACTAACTGAAGCCCCCCACCTGCACCCGCGCGCGAGACTTGAGGGGGAAGGAAGCAAGGGGGCGGGGGGCTCGGGAAAGGCGACGAAGGCAACGTGCGCTAAGGGCGCAACAGAAAAATGGCTGGAACACACGAAAGCGGTCAGGTGAGTGTCGAAATCTGCCCAGCCAATCTGGCATGCGGAACACTGCGCCTCAGTTTTGGGGATCTTGAAGGCCAGGGCAAAATGTGAATTCACATTGTGGGGAAAAGCAAAATGTGAATTCACATTTGGGGAAAAAGGAAAATGTGAATTCACATTTTGGGAAAAAGGAAAATGTGAATTCACAGTTTGGAATTTTGTGTAGGATTCTTTATGAAGGGGCCAGAATGTGAATTCACAATTTGGGAAAAAGGAAAATGTGAATTCACATTTTGGGAAAAAGGGAAATGTGAATTCACATTTTGGGAGAATCGCGGGGCCCATTCCAAATCTGTCTTGGGGGTCGAGAAGTCATCGTTTGGGAACATACGCGATCATCAACCGCACAATCAAGACACACTTGCACTCCACTTCGCCGACCCACACGCAATATGCAAGAACGCCCGCACGCATGAACGATAATGGATGGACGGCGCGTGTGCCCGCGCGGGCAACGCGCGGGCACAAATGACTGGCCATCAATGACCGCCAGCATTGGATGCCAATCGTACCCGATCACAGACATGAACGATACATTGAGCATACATGGGCCATTCAGCCCCCATTGAAGACCCCCTGTTGCAGACCCCCTCTTTCACCCTCCAATAAATGCTCCAACTCCTAGGTAGGGTCGCACTGGGATAATTATATTGCTGCCCCTCCTCCTCCTCCTCCTCCTCCTCCTCCTCCTCATCCTCCTGCTCCTCCTCCTCTTCCTCCTCCTCCTCCTCCTCCTCCTCCTCCTCCTCCTCGCCCCTTCTACGTCCCCACGACTTCCTTCTCCTCAATCTCCTCAGTCCTTCTCCTCTTGTCTCTCGTTCTCATCCTGGTCCCGCCTCCTGCACGCCTTGCACGTCCTCCCGCCCCAGAGAGCAGCCGCCTCCCGGCCCACCCACGCCGCCCCTCCCTGCCAACACGGGCGGAGCCCGCTGCGGCACCCCGCGTCGGGCCCCGCCGCAGCGGGCCGCGCCCCCGCCCGCCAGCGGGCCGCGGCGGCCCGCCCGACAGGCCCGCGCCGCCGCGCAGCCTTCGCCTCGCGGAGGGGGGCCGCTGCGGCGAGGCCCACCCGCGGCCCTCCCGCTCCCGAGCCTCCCGGGGGCCCGAGCCGCGGCGAGCCCCACCGCGCGCGCCCTGCGCTGCCACAGGTCCGCTCCGCCGCCCCTCGGGGCACCTCCGAGGCGCGCCCGCGGGCCGAGCGCGCGGAGAGGGCGGGCGCGGCCCCCCACGCGCGGGCCGGCCCTCGCCCGGGCCAGCGCCGCGCGTCGGGCAGTCGGCGGCCGCAGCAGGAGGGTGCGCGATGAGGACGCAAAAGGGCCTCGGGCGCCCCTCGCGAAGCTCTTCTCGAGCGGGGCGCGGCCAACGGACGCGGCCAAGGAGTGGGCCGAGGAGGGAGGGATGCAAGGGTACCCTTCGGAAGGTTGCCCATCCTTACCAGGCGGGTCGACTGCACTGTCAGCGCCCTTCGGCGCACCTCGCCTTCGGCGGGAGCCGGCGATCGGCCCGCGGAAGCCGGCGGAAGTAGAACGGCGGCGGGCCCGCCAGCGGCAGATCGGCGGAAGGCGGCGTAAGTAATGGGGAGGCGTCAACATGGTTGGATTTGGGTTCCGAAGTCGGCCACGTGCCATCCACAGCTCTGGTACATCCTCCAGCGGCCAGTGACTTCTGCTCGGCGAGCCGCAGCGGTTACCGCCGCGGCGCGCCGTGCATCGCAGACTGGTGCGTCGCTGCGCTGCGCGGGGCGGGAGGCTGGGACAAACTCGGGACGTTGATGCTTGGAGACTGGGACGTGCTTAACGTGTCGCTCCGGAGCGCGGTGGTCCAGAAATGATGGCGCGACGCGCCATGCAGACGCTCCTGACTGCACATTCTTCCACGTCTTTCCTACCTTCGGCGGCGGGCGAGGGGGGCACACGAGAAGGAGAAGGCCTCCTCAGAAGGCGGCGGGACCTCTCAGAAGCCCTCGCGCCTTCTGAGATGCTGTCCGTGACGAACGAACAACACACACCCATACCCATAGGGAGGCCGGAAGGAGAAGGACTGGCTGTGGGTATGGGTGCGGGTTGTCGGACCCCTGGGGGGGCTCCCGTTCGAGCGGGGACCCCCCTCCGACAACACGCGCCCATAGCTCCTTCCGTCCCCCCTGTGGGTATGGGTGCTTGCTGCTCGTTCGTCAGTCCGCGTCGTCGGGGAAGGCTCAGAACGCTTCCCCCAGACGGCCAGGGGGACTTCCGAGCCTTCCGAGACGGCCTTCTCCCTCTCGCTTCCCCCACGGGCCCGCCGCCGATGCCTCCCTCCCTCTCCCTCGCCCTGGCGTGAAGGAGCAGGGCCCCGAGGGAAACGGGCCGTGGGCACCCGGGGCCGTCCCGAGCCGCTTCTTGGACAGCCCGAGGGCCCCGCCCTCCTCCCTCCTCCCTCCTTGCCCTCCTCCCTCCTCGCCCTCCCTCCCTCCCTCCCTCCCTCCCTCCCTCCCTCCCTCCCTCTCTCCCTGACTCCCTCCCTCCCTCTCTCCTCCTCTCTCCTCCTCTCTCCTCCCTCCGTCCCTTCTCCGAATGCTCGCTGCTTCCCTCCAGGGATGCAGGGCGCGGGGGGCACGCGCCACGAGGCTGAGGATGCACGCGCCCGCACGGTACGCTCTGTGATCGAGGGGGGGAAGGACACGTGCCAGGGACGTCCGCAGGCCCAGGGATGCAGGGGGGCCCTGCCCCAGAGGCTCATTCTCGAGCCTGGTTTTTGGCTGCCCTCGCTCCCTTCCTCCCCTCCTCTCCGCCTCCTCCCCCCTCCTCCCTCCCCGCCCCACCTGGCCTTCCGCTCCTTCGGGTGGCATCTCGATTGGGGACTCCATTGAGACTCAGCGTGTTCGCGTCTGGGGCTCAACTCCGACGCGTCGGGTCGGTTTCCGATTCTTGTCCTACCTAGCCGACTCTGGAAGCCCTGAACCCAGGAACATTTGACGTCTCGCTCTTCCTTCCGCCGTCTTCCGCTAGCTTTCTGCGAGCGTCAAGCGCCCCACCCCCCCGCCGTTTAAGTTCCTCTGGCTCCCGCCAACCTTCCGCGGACTTCCTACCTGGTGCGCGCGACGCCCGCTCTCGGTGCTCAAATCTCCAGACGATCCGATTCTCTTACCTTCTCTGGGCGAAGGAGGTGCCTAGCAGCCCGCCGCCCTCCTCCCCCTCGCCGTGAACCTGCGCCTCCTACGTCCTCCGTCATCTTGCCCTTGGAGGCCTCCCACATGGGGCCGGAGCAGATGGGGTCGGACGATTGCGCCGCATTGCCGATGCATCGGCGACGGCGTTATGGAAAAGAACGGGATCCAGATCGAGCCGCATCGCCGATGTGTCGGCGGTGCGGCGCGATCCTCCGACCTCATCTGCTCCAGCTTTCCTTGGGAGACCCAGAGTCCCTCACCTTACTTTCTCTTGAAGAAGAACAGTTTGTAAGAAACACAACATACACATACACTTTTGAAGGTCCCCGTGGCGGCGCCGGAGGCGCCGTCAGGGGGATCCAGCGCAGATCATCTACGACATCCGCGCGGACCTTCGAACATGTATGCTGACGTCATCGTCTCCCCCCCCCCCCCCCCTCTGCCTGCCTCCGTCCTCGTCTCGATCCTCTCGCCCTCCCCTGCCCCCTTTGTGCGCTCCTCTTCCCCCCCCCCTCTTTTGCCTGCCTCCGTCCGCTCTCCTCCCCGCCTCCGTCCCTCCCTCGCCCCTCCTGCTCCTGCCTGCCTCGTCCGCCCTTCGCTCTGCATCCTCCCTTCTTCCTGCCTCCGCCCCCGCAGCCGCTCGTTCCTCTGGGTCTCCAATAACCCCGCCAGCCCTCTGGGCGCAGGTGGTCTAACGAGGGGTTCATGGGGCCTGGATCGGAGGGGGTTTCGCCCAAGCTGGCTCCAAGATGGCTCAAGATAGCCGAAGATGGTTCAAGATAGCTTCCGACATACTTCCAAGATGCTCCAGGATGGCCACAAGACGGCTCCAAGCGCTCTCGGAGCCATCCAAGGATCCCTCCCAGAGTCCAACATGCTTAAGCAGAACCTTTGGACGTCCGATGGGCTTCTGAGGCCTCCAGATGCTCCAAGAGAGCACCAAGAGGGGCCCAAGAGGCCCAGACGGCTCCAAGATCGCCCCAAGAGCGCCCCAACAGGGCCCGAAGAAACGGTCTTGAGGGCTCTTGATGGAACGGCTAGATGAGTGACCCCCCCCCGGGCCTTCAATACGACCCCAAGAAGTCCTCCAGGGCTCCCAAGATGCCTCAAAGGGGGACTCAAGAAAATCAACTCTCATCGGCAGCGTTTCCGAATGGGCTGGCGGGGATACGCGAAGCGTGAAGAATACCTGTAGCGACAATTAGAAGACAGAAGAGCCACCCTGAGAACACTCAGGCCTGCACGCGACGCCTCTTGGGAAACGAGCCTGGGGAAGGAACTGGACAGCGCAGGATGCTCCGATCGGCGCCTCTAGATACGCCAAGATGCCCCCAAGACTGGCACGAGCCAGCACGGCTTGGACCTACCGGCTGCTCCAATTTTTGTCGATGCGCGCGCGCCCTGGAAGTCTGGACCACTTCCCTGGGGCCGGCTTTTCGTCCCGGGTCGTGTTTTCGCGGTCCCGAGGCCTGGCGAGGGCCCTCAGCGGGCGAAAACAACCAACAACCGCCCGCTCCAACTGTTTGTGGAGCGTCGGGTCTCGGAGTAGATGGCCTCCAGCACGCCTCCGGGAGGCCAGGACACCGCCCCAGGGAGGCTGGCTCTGTGGCCACGGGGAGCCGCCCACGGATGCCCCCGGACAATTCCAGCTCGCCAGCGACCTGCAGCTTTCTCAGAGATTTCAGCCTTCTCGGCTGTTCGCTCTCGACTCGGCTTGCGAGGTCTCAACCTTGCCACAGGATGGCCCAGCTGAGCCCCACGATGGGGCCCTGAAGAGAGCATCGTTTTTTTTTTGGCATCGGCGCATCCGCCTCAACAGCTCTGGCATTGGTAGCGAGGACCTGCCAGCATGCACCTCTTCCACTCCGTCGAACACGGAATCCAAGAGGATTCCAGTGGAGCCCCACGTGGGCCCGAAGATGTGTTTCTGGTCGGGGCTCCGGCGGGAGAGACTGATGATGTCCGCGCTCTGTTTTGACGACTTTTATGAAGAAGAAACAGCGGCATAAACATAAACCTTTGGCGCTCCGCGCGGATTTCTCGGATCCGCGATAGACCCGCTTCCCTGGCGCGCGGGGCGCGCCAGGGGCGGCGCCGGAGGCGTTGCCAGTGGGGCCCAGCGCGGATCCAAGAAATCCGCGCGGAGCGCCAACAGTTTATGTTTATGCAATTTTTTCTTCTCTTCGATTTTAAGATTACCGCAGTCACGCCCAGAAGGCCCCACAGGTGCCTTACCAGACGCCGCGGCAGCCCAAACTGTAGACCCGAGAGAGCTCCATCATGTCTCTCAGGAAGGCAACACCTCGCTTGCACATTGCGCTCTGCATCGGCCGACACGAGGCCGGAGCAGTTGGCGCCATGTTACTTCCGAGCATGGGATGCGACTGACAGGTCTGTCGGGATCGCATAGGAGAGAACGTAGTCATTCCATCGGCCAGATGGCAGGGAGCAAAGCGCTGACACCGACTAGCCATATCAGATCCATGAGCAAGCCAACACGCAAAAAGTCTGCGAATGAGTAGCCGCCAGGTCCCTTCACCATGAGGTTCGTGGCGTAGCCAATCGGAGAGGCATAAGAGGTCGAAGCGGCCATCATGACAACCACGACCAAGGGCTTTGCGGACTTGAGGCCCATCTCCTCTGCCATGCTTATTGCAAGGGGCACCCCCAAGGCAGCAGCAGCGTTATTCGTCACCAACTCTGTGACGACCATGACTACTAGAAACAAACCACTTGGGGCCAGCTCTCGTGGCATGCCAGAATTGAGGACTCCATGGGCCACAGCAACTGCCAGCCCCGACTGCTGTATTGCCTGTGCCAGGCCCAGGGCCGAACCGATTAGGATAAGCAACTGCCAATCGACGAGGCCCCTGATGTCCGCAGCCCGGACCCAGCCACCAAGAACGAAGATGCACGCAAGCGTAACCGCAACCTGAACCATGGAAGTGAGACCAAATACTGTCAAGGCGAGGCCCGTCAAGAACAGGACTGGCGGAATCAGATTGAACCATGTCTGAGCGTGCGGTAATTCGGCAAGGCGCGTCACAAGTAAGAAGTCGCGATTCGGGAAGATCTGACCCAGGGGCGTGAGAACCAAAATCACATCACCAGCCACAAAAGTACCACGCGGCACACGAGCAGCCCGCGCAGAGTGTGTAGGCGACGTGGGCGATCCTGGAACCGCTGATCCCCCAGACACTTGCCTCTCCATACCCCCTCCGCCAATGTTTCGGCGGCGCAGGGCGATCAAGCCTGCCTTGTAGTGGCGCGCGATGAGCTCGGCACCCTTCTCCACGTACTCTCCTATCAAGGGCGACCCTGGGCCAAGAACCAACTCTACGAATTCAGAATTCTCGCCGATGACACTTTGCGCATGAAGGTTCGAGAGTTTAACCCCGCGTTCCTGCTTGGACGTGATCGCCACCACAGTATCCCGGTCAACAGACAGTAAGAATACGTCGCCAGGCTTTACTCGTTCAT